ACTAGTTAACTGCAGAGGAAATAATTTCCTGTTCAGATGACTGAGACTTCCCCTTTAGCAAAACAACCCCAACAGTAGATGCAAGTTTTTGATGTTCCCTATAAAAGACCAAGGCAAAACCACTCTCCTAGGACACTCTGATCCCTAGATCTAGGTGCTCTCCCTATTGTAGTAGCAGAAATAAAGTCCTCCTTTCTCATCTAACTTTTGTCCTCAGTGCATCAATGGAGGCAGCAGAGCGTCTCTTGGACATCTGAGGTGTAATAGCTTCCTTCCACACTCTTTGTTCATTTCTCTTGCTTTTTCTTCCAGTCAACAAATATTCTTGACTTACAGGGCAATCCACAGGATCATCCTGCTCATGCCACACTGATGTCCACCATGTAACCACCTCTAAGGTCCCAGTACTCTGCTGAGCTTGTTCTTTCTCCAGGTGTCTTCTACTTGGATCCCTTGCTTGATATCTCAGCATGGCTGTTCCCAACTACAAGGGCTGATGGCACTTCTAGAACTCAACACTCCCTGACACACTACTACAATTTTCTCTCTCCTTCCCTTGAAGATAAACGCCATCAGGCCAGATGCCTAGAGAGTCGTCTGGCACAAGGGACAGACTTAGTAAGTCCCCCGCCATGGGACACAGCACAGGGAGACACACTGGGGATAGTCACACAGGCTCAGGAGCCCTGTTGTAGGGAATTTTGATAATATAAAGCACAGTAAATGTTGCAAAGAAAAAGTAAAAGTCAGAAATGGTAGTCAGTGTTCATAATTGTAAACAAGGCTATTCTGTTAAAAGATAGGAAGCTGTCAATAATGATATTTTGATTCTTAACAGCCAGGTCTGGACATGTTCAGCCCAAGGTTCATGAAGCAGGCTAAAATTCTCTTATTAGGGATCTGGTATCATGATAATAAAGGCCATTTAGTGAGCAGGCAAGCTTGGTACTTATTGGGGAAAGGAGAGAACTACATTCCTGGTGTGAGGAATGCCTGCTCTGTAGGTCATTTTTTATAGAAATAACTCTGCCATAATATTCTGCCTCACCATTGGCCCAACAGTGATGAAGCCAGCAAACTACCACAGACTGAAAACCATTAACCAAAGTAAATCTTTTCTCCTTTTAAGTTGCTTATCTCCGGTAATTTGTCATAGTGACACAAAGCTGACTAACACACTGAGCCACTGAATCATCAAATTGGACATACACATTGATCTTTGGCTATGAAGTTTGTCAGACCAGACCTATCTGAATAGGTCTAGAAGATATACACAAATTGCAGTAGGAAGTAACTCAAATCCCTGAGTGGCTGATTCTGCAGCTTTTCCACCTCTCTCCCTCATCCCACACCCGTGGATGGCCCTATGTCCAAAGTATACCCCACTAATGTGAGTTCAAGCAGGACAGAATCCTCATGTAGAACAGAGGGGCAGATGGTCTCTTCTGAATTCTCATGGTAACTTCAGACTATGCAAATGTGTTCTCGTGGTCCCTGTGACTTTTAGGAGTTTGTGATGAGCAGTCAGGAAAACTACAAGGACCACTGGCTTGTGAAAGTCCAACTGCCTAGCAAAGCCATGAGTTGTTCCTCCAATGTTGTCTTAAAATCATCATGAAACAGGATTTCATATGCATTGGATTTTTTCCCTTACTAATTCTGGAGAAAGGATCAGGAGGGAGTATGGACAAGCTTTTGTCACCTCCTAATGACAGGAAAGCCGTTGACAATTTCAATGTCTCCTTTATTCAGAAGTGAGCCTTTCCTTGGCTGAGGAGCAAAAACAGTGGATGGAGCTGAGTATCTTCCATCTGTCCTCCAGACCCACTTCCATCCTGGTCTTCCTGCTCTCAGTCCAGATATGCTGACCTGTATGGACAGTGTTAACACTTCCTTTTGCCCTCTAGCTTCCGGTTGCTTCAGCCAATGTGAGAACTGAGAGAAATCACAGGGAGGGAAGGAGAAGACTCTCAATTCCCACAGCTTCCTGCCTACACAGAAGGCAATGGCTCCAGTTACCTCACCAGGTCCCTATGGGCCCCGCCTGTGAAAGGTTCTACTGCCCTCCGGCACTGCCAAGCTGAGAACCAAGCTTCCAGCACGTGAACCCTTGGGGGACACCCTCAAGGTTACCTGAGTAAAAGCCAGAAGTATGGATGTATCAGAGAGAGAGAGACCTGAGATGAAGGACTCAAAATGCAGGTACTAGGGACCAAGATCAGGGTGTGATAGAGAGATCGAATACAAGGAAGTTGGTGCGAGTCACAGAAATCAAATATTTGCTTGTTAGGGAAGTCTGAAGGGGTATGAGGAGTAAGAGGGGAGAAATGAGCCATGAGCTAAGGCCTTGGAGAATGAGAAGGGACAACTGAAGAGTGTGGAGAGGCAGGAGGTAGAGAGAAGGGCTCGAGTTTTTAAAGGAGAGGAGCGCTGAAAGAACAGATGTGACCTGGAGGCAGCACAAGGTGCAAGGGAGACATCAGTGTCACCTCTAGGCAGAAAACATGTAGGGCAGAGGGGGGCACAATGCCTTTAGTGAAAGGGTGTCAGGGGATCTAAGCTTCCAAGAGGCCAAGTAAAGAGGACACGGAGCTGGGAAGCTCTTCCCTGCACTGACAAACATGGTGGGGCAGGGGGGTCTTCTACAGAGCGCAAGGTCAGTGGCACACAGATGGATCCCTGGGGTGTCATCTGAGACCACATTTTAAAATAAGAACAAGTTTTGCTGTTTTTTTTTTTTTTTTTTGGTGGTGCTGGGAATTGAACATAGGACCTTATGCATGCAAGGCAAACACTCTACCGACTGAGCTATATCCCTGGGCCAAGGACCTGAACAGACAGTTCTCAGAAGAGGATATACAATCAATCAACAAATATATGAAAAACTTCTCCGCATCTCTAGCAATTAGAGAAATGCAAATCAAAACTACTCTAAGATATCATCTCACTCCAGTCAGAATGGCAGCTATTATGAAGACAAACAACAATAAGTGTTGGTGAGGATGTGAGGAAAAAGGCAAACTCAAACATTGCTGGTGGAACTGCAAATTGGTGCAGCCAATAAGGAAAGCAGTATGGAGATTCCTTGGAAAACTGAGAATGGAACCACCAATTGACCCAGCTATCCCTCTCCTCAGACTATACCCGAAGGAATTAAAAACAGCATACTACAGGGACACAGCCACATCAATGTTTATAGCAGCACAATTCACAATAGCTAAACTGTGGAGCCAACCTAGAAGCCCTTCAGTGGATGAATGGATAAAAAAAATGTGGCATATATACACAATGGAATTTTACTCAGCAATAAAAGAGAATAGAATCATGGCATTTGCAGGTAAATGGATGACGTTGGAGAAGATAATGCTAAGTGAAGTTAGCCAATCCCCAAAAAACAAATGCTGAATGTTTTCTCTAATATAAGGAGGCTGACTCATAGTGGGGTAGGGAGGGGGAGCATAAGAGGAATAGATGAATTCTAGATAGGGCAGAGGGGTGGGAGGGGAAGGGAGGGGGCAGAGGATTAGCAGGGATGGTGGAATTTTTAGACATCATCATCCAAAGTACAAGTATGAAGACACAAATTGAGTGTCAACATACTTTATATACAGAGATATGAAAAATTGTGGTGTATATGTGTAATAAGAATTGTAATGCATTCTGCTGCCATTTTTTTAAAGTCAATAAAAAAAATGAAAGAACAGGCTTTACATGTCACCTTTGCTGTCAAGGAATTAAAAGATGACTCACGAATCCAGACAGTATATTCTCATAAATTCTCCCTACCTTTTAGAACGGATGCAGATTGCCCTTCACAAGTGCATACTCTTGCGCATGCCTGGGGGGTGTCAGCCACAGAAATGCAACTAAAAAGGTCTCCCACTTCCCAGTTTTTAGTGCACTCAGCATCTTAAACTTTTTGATGTTAGACATTTTCTACAATTGTTACTTCTGAGCAGAGTTCCCAGTAAACATTTTCATCTCAAGTTTTTGGGCACAGACAACCAAAAACGAAGGAAGAGGTCTTCCTCTTGGGCACAGCCATGGCATTTATGAAGGCGAGAAGAGCAGACCTAAGCTAAAGCACTCTCTCAGCTAAAGAGGCTCTCTCTGCCTCTCTTCTCATTATTTTAGACTCAAATGGAATGGTCCAGAAAGGAACCACATCTAATAAACATTGACTGAAACATCGGAGTCCCACGGGAAGGGGTTAGCTGAGTATATCAACCACACTTCTTTGTGATTGATGGAAATAGCATGCCTGACTTTCAAAGTGGAAAATTATTACTCTTGGCTGGTAGATATGTAAATTGTTATTTAAAAGACACTTATGATCTTCTGCAAGTCAAATTTCTAGACTTTTAAATGATAACTTAAACACTCCAGAGAAGAATGTAAATGGAGAAAATGAAAAATGTAACATAATGTAAACTACTTAAAACCCAAGAAACTAATAAATTCCAAAAACCTTTTGTCAAGGAACACTTTATTTTTTTAAAAATAGATGAAATGTTTCCTTACAAGTGGTATGCTTTTTTCCCAGAAAGAATCTATATTCAGGGGCACACCATTTGAATGCTGATTATTTTAACATGAAAATTGAATACATAAAGAAAAACTGTCTTTAGTTTCAGGAGAAGTGACAATTAAATAGCACAAGCTATTTTGAGTGGATTTGTGTCTTTTTCTACACAGGATAGCAAGAAGTGTTTTTGTAACATACATATTTTCCAGTAGGGGACACTTGGGTAAGTTATCTTGTATTGCCTATACTTTTGTCCCCCTGCCAACCCCATCTCAGGGAGAAATGGCATAAAGAGAACACCATGATTTTCCAGCATTCGTTCAATCAAGAGTGTGTTTGTGAATGCCAAAGGTCTGTTCCAGCGCATCTCCATGCAGCACCATCCCGGAATAAGCACCTTTTCTTCTCCAAAGAGTGGTCCTGGGGTAGTTTTATGACAGATGTTGGTGATGGACCAGGTATCCCTTAATCTTCCATTGATGGATATCTATTCATTCCATCCCACTACAACATGAGCAACAAGGAGATAACACATCCCGACAGTGCAGGACACCACCATCATCGGGAAGCCCAACCTAAAACACAAAAAGAGATGGGTTATGGCATCTAGTGTCTGGTGAGAACCATGAAATGTGGACTCGTTATTATTATGTTATAACCATTATTATTTTTTGCTTTTAGAAATTAAGCTAGTTTTAGCTTAGATGATGAAGATGCATGCTTCTATTAGCTATCTCCCGTTGTGTGCAATTTTATTTGAAACCCATCCACTTAAAATTTTTTGTCATGGATATTTGCAGTTTCGGTGTATTCATTCACAAGATTAAAGGGTCTTCTACTCACACTATCAATGTCATGTATTGGGCTACTATTTACATCTCTGCATGTTTCCTTCAGCTGTGTCAAGTTTCAATTATCCTTCTCTAGAGATTTCCTGGAGAGGCCACATTCCCATTGACTCCTGAAGCCCCTTACACTTAATGTTGGGGGAGTTTGAGAGATAGGATTGAAAGATAAGGGCTTCTCTCATCTAAGAAAGGTAAGAGAAATGAACGGTATTTCCTCCTGTATTTGGTGAGGTGTGAGATGTCTGAATAGGTATGCACCAATGTAAAACAGTCATAAGAAGATGAAAGGTCCCCTCATTGTGAGCACCCCCGCCCAGCACACACATATATCCACAAATTCTTATCTTAACTTACAAATTCTCATAGATTCCGCTTCGGTGTTTGGAATCCACACCCTGTAGCCATTGAGTAATGTTGCTTTGTCACTAAAGAGAGTCCCTGCAAAGCTCCTAGTTTTGATTCCAAAAGGCTTTAGTGTTCAACAGCAAAAACCTAGTATGTGATAATTATAATTATAGGGATTAGGACACTCTTCATTTCCTGGCCATGGACATGAGAGGAAGCTATTCAGAAAGAGCCACAGCAAGGTTCTCTCTACAAAGCTGTAATTCAACACAGGAATCACATTCATGAGTGAAAAGGCTCCTCAAATCCTGGGGCAAACTTGGATATTTCAAGAAGCAATAGGATGCTCTGAGTTTCTCTTGTGAACATGTTTCTTTGATCCTGCAACCTGTACACTTGGAAAAATGAGAAATTATACCCCATTTGATTCAAATGTATGATTATGTCAAGATCATTGTATTGTCATGAGCAACTAATAAAAAAAGTAGTTTTCAAGAAAGCTATTTAAATGTCCATGGATTTATCCACTTTGTTTTTGTAAAGCATATTAGCAAAATGTCAGTCGTGGTCAAAAAAACAAAATCTATGGTGGTATCTGGTCAACATGAGGTATCATACACACCATCAGAAGCCTCCATGGAAAAGAAACACCTTCTTTCCACAATGACACATTGTGTAGAATGGGTCAATGTCAAGAGAATATTGACTCTCCCAGCTGGGGCTCTGAGACACCTGGCCATGTTTCAGAAGAAAATCTACATTGCCAAGGAATAGATCCCACAGAAATCAGACCTTGCTCTTGGGGATCCCAAGCCTAGAGAAAGTTCCTCATGAACCGTTCTCCTATGCAGAAGAAAAGGAGAGCCACTGGTTTCTCAGGGATGGCACCAGCCCTGGAAGGAGCTTCACCTAGGGAATGGTGCAAGTACTTAGGTTCCATCAGCATCACTGTCACTATTATCTAAGCATCTACAATATCTAAGCTCTGCATTCACATGGCACCATCACTGACTTTATCACCTCCTGAATCTGGCATCATCACACCCACTATGCAGAGGGGATTTGGAGAAGGAAGCTGGCTTGCCCGGGACCGTTGGCTAGTTTTATATAGTGTGAAAATCCAAACTCTCTCAGGCCAGTTCTAATGTTCATATTTTTAATTATTACATACACTGCTTCCCTGTGAATATAGATAAATTATAACAACAAAGACACTCCATGAAAAACTAAATAACTGTTTGAATATCTGCCATATGCTAAGAACCACATAAACATAGACATGGATGTTTTCTATTATTTTCTAAACAAAATAAGGCATTTCATATTATCTCTTACATACAGATGGGGGGGGGGAATGAAGCTTGGACATATTAAGAAATTTAGCAAAGACCAATACTACTAAGAAGCAGAGATTACATTTTGATATTTTTCTAGCTTCAAACCCTACATGCATACCCCAAATATAGATAGGTAACACAAAATACAATTTAAGAATTCTTATTTTCAATCCTGCTCTTGTCCAAATCCCTATTTGGGGAAAGTATTGAACATCTCCATGATTCAAATTCTTTATCTATAATATGCAGTAATAATAGTACCTACTTACCAAGGTTGTTATGAGGATTGCATGTTCATTAGAACAGGGTCTGGCCACATCAATGAGCCCTCAGCAAATGCTAGCAGCCCCTAGTCAGGCACCTGCCTCAGAGTGTCTGCTGACCAGAGTTTTAGTACAAAATCACAGAGTGAGAATGGAGTGCCTGTTTTGGATCAGAAGATGCATTTGATGGTGAAGAATTTAATAACACCAATACAGATTTACTAGAGAATAGAATATAATTGTTTAATTCTCAGAAACTATAGAACAGACTTGAATTCTGGAGAAAGATGAAATAGGTGCAGTTCTTCTTGTCCTTCCCACCAAGCATAGCTAACAAGCCTGGTCATTAGATATAAGGCAAACACAAGAGGGCGCTGAAGACCTTGAAGGGGAGAAAGCAGACCAGCTGGGAACTTTGGGACCTTGAAGACTATCATGGCAGTGAGTTTCCCCTCATATGTCCCTCATGTGTGGGAAGCTCACCCATGGGAAACTCAATGGACAGTAGACCCCTAAAATAAGAAAGGCTACAACAAAAGCTTGCTCTCTCTAACCAAAGGATCAGAGAAAGGTCAGCACAGTCAGATAGAAATCTTTTAGAGAATAACTGCCTAGCTCCAACCAAATACCACAGGAAATTCTTTAAAAGCTGCATTCCATCCCCTCAGCAAAGGTCAAGTGCGAGAGCAGAACTTCCACCTTCCCCAGGCTGTTCAGAGGCTCCCCTCCTATGATGTCAGTGGAGAGAAATGGGAATCATGAACCTTTACTCTACCTGGAAGGGAAGAGGTCCTCTTTCTTGCACTGGGGGACTTCAGAAGAGACCAAGAGGGAAGCCCAGGGTTTTACCACCTTCCAGCCCACAATGTTAGCAGATCTATGGAAGTCACATGAGAAGAAAAACAATGCTATCCTCCTCCTGATGTTACCAGGGAAGATCTAGTGGGGGACAGAGCATCCACCTCACTCAGCAATAAAACAGCTTCACTCTTCCTCTGAAATGTCAATAGAGGGAAAAGAGAACCTGGACTTGCAACTGTACCTGGCAGTAACAAGATGATGAACTCCTTCCCAACAGCATGGGGTCAGAGGAAGCAGGCTAACACAGAAGATTTAAATAAGATACAGACATAACACCAACAACACACTTGGTATCACAGAATGTTTCACCTGGAATGAAAAAAGACCATCAACAGATGTCAACAGTTAGATTGCATAAATCTTGAAACTATGTGACATGGGTTTCAAAGCAAATTACAAGAATTATTCATCAAACAACTACAATCGCACTTGAAACAAATGAAAAAAAATCAAGTCTCAGAAAATAAATTCAAGAAGTAAAAGAAAACCAAATGGAAATTTTAGAAATTAAAATGAGACAAAAAACAACAAAAAATATGGCCACAATAACATTACAGAGAATATTAAAGAAACAAATCAGTGAACTCGAAGGCACAACGGAAATTGTCCATCTGGACAACAGAGAAAAAATAAGACTGGGTTGTTAAAACAAACAAACAAACAAACTTTGAAGGATCTGGAACAGGAAAAAAAAAATCTAACATTTATGTCAGGAGAGCCTCAAAATGGGTGGAGAAAAAAGGAAGAGATGAAAAACTATTCAAAAAATAATGACTGAATTTTGGTAAAAGATATAAACTTGAAGATTAAAGAAGCCAAGCAAACGCTTAAAAGGACAGGACCCCCCCCCCCCCCCCCCCCCGCAAAAAAAAAAAAAATCTATGCCCAGCTAAAACATAAACAAGCTCCTGATGTTATAGTTGAGATATGAAGTGTCTCCTAAAAGCTCATTGTGAGACAATGCAAGAAGGCTTAGAGGTGAAATGATTGGGTCATGAGAGCCTTAATCCAATCAGTGCATTAATCCCCTGATAAGGATTAACTTGGTGGTAACTGAAGGCAGATGGGGGTGTGGCTGGAGAAGGGAGGTCATTGGGGGCATGCCTTTGGGGTATATATTTTGTCCATAATGAGGAGAGTCTCTCTTTCTTTCTGCTTCCTGGTATGATGTCCTGAGTCACTTTTTTCCACCCCACTCTTCTGACATGATGTTCTGCCTCGCCTTAGGCCCAGAGCAATGAACCTCGTTGTTCTATGGACTGAGACCTCTGAAACCATGAGCCCCAAAATGAACTTTTCTTCCTCTAATTTCTTTTTTGTCAGATCTTTTGGTCACAGCAGTAAAAAAAGCTAACTGAAACACCTGACAACTAAAGAAAACTAAAAATTAAAAGTAACAAGAGATAAAATGACATTTACTTATAGATAAAAACAGTATTTTTTCCATTCAGACTCCACAGAGGCTGTCAGGAAGCAGAACAACATTTTTCCATTGCTGAAAGATAAGATCTATCAACACAGATTTATATATTCATCAAATACAGTCCTCAGAAATGAAATAGAAGTCAAGACATTCTCAGATGAAGTAAAACCAAAAGAGCAGCAGGCATACCCTAAAAGAGTTGCTTAAAAGATCTTCAAATATAAAATGACAAAAGAAAGAATCTTGCAGCATCAGGAAGGAAGAACAAACTAATAAACAGAAACATGGGTAAGTACTGTCAACTTGCTTTCTCCTCTTAAGTTATTAACTGTGTGGTAGTTGAAGCAAAAATTATTTCAAAATAGCTATCGCCAAGGATTTATTTTTTAATTTATTTTTTTATTGGTTGTTCAAAACATTATAAAGCTCTTGACATATCATATTTCATACATTAGATTCAAGTTGGTTATGAACTCCCAGTTTTACCCCAAATACAGA